AAAAATATTTTTATTGATTTGAGAGAGGAAGGGAGAGGAATAGAGACATCAATGATGAGAAAGAATCATTGATCAGCTGCCTCCTGCACGCCCCCCACTGGGAATTGAACCCACAACCCCGGCATGTGCCCTCACTGGGAATCGAACCCTGATCTCCTGGTTCAGGGGTCCATGCTCAACCACCGAGCTACACTGGCAGGTTGCATACTTTAAAAAAAATTTCTTAGAGGAAATGAGAAGAGAAAAACATCAATGTGAGAGTGCAACATAGATCTGCTGCCTCCTGCATGCCCTTCACTAGGGATTGAGCCCCCAACCTAGGCATGTGCCTGACCAGGAATCAAACCAGCAACCTTTCAGTGCATAGGATGACACCCATCCAACTGAGCCACACAGGCCAGGGCTCAAATAAGATCCTTGAATTAATAAAAGGTGAAATTCACCCCACTCTGGCTGGGTAGCTCATTTGGTTAAAGCGTCATCCTGATACTGAAAGGTTGTGGGTTCAATCTCTGGTCAGGGCACATACAAAAAGCAACTGATAAATGTATAAATAAGTGGAACAACAAGTCAATATTTCTCTCTCTAAAAATCTATTTTAAAATAATAAATAAATAAAAGATGTAAATTATAGAAAAGGAAGAAGTAAAAGAGAGAGCCAGTTCTATGTTTCTGGCCTTAGTAGTTTTATTGACAGAATTTACACTAGTGTATTGGCTAAGAGTCTTTTGACTACAAGCGCAGACACTGGTTCAAGCTAGAATTTATTGTAAGGAAACAGGTAAGTGTTATGGAAGCTGAGGGACCTGAACATACTCAAGCTGTCTTCACTTCTCTCCTATCCATATTTCCCATGGGCCCCTGCTTCAATCATTTCCCCCTCTCCACAGCCTCTTTCTTTGACTTCTGTTCATACAGCAGGCTACAAAATGGGTACCTCAGCTTCTGAATTTAGAACTTATAAGTCCAGCTACCTGGAAAAGCTACATTTCACTCTCAATCCTAAGCACGTATTGAGGAGAAAAAGATTATTTTTTAAAAAATTGATTTTTAGCCCTGACCGGTTTGGCTCAGTGGATAGAGCGTCGGTCTGCGGACTTTAAGTTCCCAGGTTCGATTCCGGCCAAGGGCATGTACCTCGGTTGTGGGCACATCCCCAATAGGGGCTGTGCAGGAGGCAGCTGATCGATGTTTCTAACTCTCTGTCCCTCTCCCTTCCTCTCTGTAAAAAATCAATAAAATATATTTTAAAAAATAAAAAAAAATTGATTTTTAGAAAGGGAGGAAGGGAGAGAAAGAGTGAAACATCAATGTGAGAGAGATACATTGATTGGTTGCCTTCCACACATACCCCTACAGGGGATGGAGCCTGAAACCTGGGCATGTGCCCTGATGGGGAATTGAACTGGTGACCTCTTGGTTCATGGGTCGATATTCAACAACTGAGCCACACCAGCTGGGCCATAGCAGTCCTTTTTAAATATTTTACTTTTTGAAAAGGAGTTATCTTTAAAATATGTAAATATGTATGAACTTAATTTAAAAATAGAAGAGGTTTATAAAAAAGGGATAACTTGAGAAGTTTTTTTTTCCCTATTACCATCCATTCAGTTTTCCATTGTATAGATCTCTTATACAGGTAACCATTTGTTAATCCTCAGATACTGTTCCCATGTTCTTTATTGCAAAAGTAATAAATACAAATATATGTATTATTTTTCTTTATTACAAAGAAGTAAACTGGCCTGGCACTTAGTTGAGGGGTTTTATTCCCTCCCTAACTTCAGGGAAAAATTCCTACCTGGGGAAACAACCTTTCTCGGAGAGGTGACCTTGGTTAAAACACATAGCACCAAGAAGGGGAGCAAACATATTAAAACAGTATGCCATATATGCCAGGTCCCTTGAGACATATGCTGTGCAGAAGTTTCTTCTCTGCAGCGACTGTGTCAAGCAGCAAGGATGGACCAGCTCCCGGCAACATTTCACTCTCAATCCTAAGCACGTATTGAGGAGAAAAAGATTATTTTTTAAAAAATTGATTTTTAGAAAGGGAGGAAGGGAGAGAAAGAGTGAAACATCAATGTGAGAGAGATACATTGATTGGTTGCCTTCCACACATACCCCTACAGGGGATGGAGCCTGAAACCTGGGCATGTGCCCTGATGGGGAATTGAACTGGTGACCTCTTGGTTCATGGGTCGATATTCAACAACTGAGCCACCCCAGCTGGGCCATAGCAGTCCTTTTTAAATATTTTACTTTTTGAAAAGGAGTTATCTTTAAAATATGTAAATATGTATGAACTTAATTTAAAAATAGAAGAGGTTTATAAAAAGGGATAACTTGAGAAGTTTTTTCTTCCCTATTACCATCCATTCAGTTTTCCATTGCATAGATCTCTTATACAGGTAACCATTTGTTAATCCTCAGGTACTGTTCCCATGTTCTTTATTGCAAAAGTAATAAATACAAATATATGTATTATTTTTCTTTATTACAAAGAAATAAACTGCTATAAATACTGTTGCATTAGTTAGCTACTGCTGCATAACAAATTACCCCCAAACTTAGCATCTCAAAGCAACAAACATGTATTATCTTACACAGTTTCTGAGAGTCCTGAATCCAGGTTTGACTTGGCTGAGTGGTTTGGCTCACAGACTCACATGAGGTTTCTGTCAAACTCTTGCCCAGGGCTGCAGTCATCTGAACGCTAGACTGTGGATAGAGGCTCTGCTTCTAAGCAGATGGCTCACTCACATGAGTATTGGCAGGTGGCCTCAGTTCCCCACCACATGGGACAGAGTGTCCTTATAACATAGCAACCAGGATCCCCTGAGCTCATGATTCAAAAGAAAGAGCAAGGAGGAAGCAGTGGTGCCTTTTATGGCCTAGTCTCCACTGTCACACACCATCACTTCTGCTCTTATTCTCGTCACGCCCACACTGGAGGGGAGAAGCTCCACTTCTTGCAGGGAGGAGTATCAAAGAATTTGTGCAAGTATTTTAATACCACATTTTAATTGTTTTTCACTTAAAAAAAAAGTAATAATGTACATCTGTCACATCTCAGAGGGAAGGCGGGGGTGGGTGGGAGGAGATGAACCCAGGAGCTTGTATGCATATATGCATAACCCATGGACTGGATGTAGACAATAGTGTGGTGAAGGCCTGCGGCGGGGTGTGGTGGGATAAGGGCTAGAGCCCACAACCTAGGCATGTGCCTGACCAGGAATCAAACCAGCAACCTTTCAGTGCATAGGATGACACCCATCCAACTGAGCCACACAGGCCAGGGCTCAAATAAGATCCTTGAATTAATAAAAGGTGAAATTCACCCCACTCTGGCTGGGTAGCTCATTTGGTTAAAGCGTCATCCTGATACTGGAAGATTTTTCTACAACTGTACATATAAAGCTTTCCCATTCTTTTCTTCATTTTGTGAACGTGCCATAGTTAATTTAACGAGTTTCCTATAGATGAGCACTTGGATTGTTTTCATCTTTTGCTATTATAAATAATGCAGATATGAATAATGTATATTCAGAACATATGTAAGCATATCAGGATAAATCCCCCAAAGTAGGATTGCCGGGTCAAAAGGTAAATGCATTTTTCATTTAATATATGTTGCCAAATTGACCTCCACTGGGGTTGTACTGACCCTATATTTGCACCCACAGAATATATCCTATATAATAAAAGCCCAGTGACTGAATGGTGGAACAACCAGAACGACCGGTCGATCAGTCGCTATGACGTACACTGACCACCAGGGGGCAGATGCTCAACGCAGGAGCTGCACCCTGGTGGTCAGTGCGCTCCCACAGTGGGAGTGCTGCTTGGCTGATCGGGATGAGTGGCGCTCCCACAGCAGGCCCATCCCCGCAGGCCACGCCCCCCACCAATGCACGAATCCCGTGCACCCGGCCTCTACTGCTATCATAATTTTGAATTTTTGCCCATCTGATCAAAAATTATATCTTCATGGAGGTTTAATATATATAGTCTTCCTCATCTTATGAATATAATTGAACATCTTTTCACATGTTTTCTGCCCTTTTTGTGAACTGTCAATTTGTGGCCTTTGTTAACATTACAAGTAAATGTGGCACTGTTCTCTTCATGGTGTGTGTGTGTGTGTGTGTGTGTGTGTGTTTGTGCAAATCAGAATTATAATATTTATTTGGCAGATTCAAACATGAAAACAAACAAAGACTTGATAGACTCTTAAATACATACTACTTACATGACACCTTGTAGAACTTTCTGGGGATCAGGGTCAAATAGCCTGTCAACATAGTGGCGACTGCTAGCTGTTACTTCCTAGAAAGTGGGGGAAAAATTATGACATCTGAAGCCATGCAAATCACAAATTCACAGCATCACCCACAACATCAAATAGCTATATAATCTAACTTAAGGTAAGTACACTAGAATGTCTACAAAATGCTTATTATATTAAATCATTCTGAGAAAAGTTGTGACAAGATAAATAAAAAGATGAGGAAGAAGATAGCTGGTTCTCACTGAAAACATAACTAGACAGTAGGACCTTTGCGCTAAGCCCTGCAAGTTTTGCCAACGGAAGTACTGGGCATTAAGAAGCAGTTAAGTTTCTTAACTAGCTGTTGGATGTCACCTATGTATGAAAAAGAGAAAGGAACATTGCTTCTGTTTAGTGCCCACTAAAGGGAAAGAAAACCTGGCTCTCAGCAAGGAAAAGGGGTAGGGACTTCATCAATGGTCTTCGAGGGGTAGTCTAGGTGCAAGAGAAAGTGCCTCAGATTGCTGTACAGTAGCTGCACTGCTAGAATGCAGACATATGCAAAAATATAAACTAAAACAAAGGAGTTGTCACTTTCTGTGAGGGGAAAATAATTAGGAATTAGAGTGATTGTTCAGGTCCGAGACAGTTAGCTAAGCTGAAATGGCTAAAGCTGGATATAAGGGGGAGAGTGAGCGCATAAAGAGCAAGAGGAGACACTTACCTCCCTTTATTTGTATCATGGGGCTTGCTCTATTATGTTATTTCTTACATATAATAGTGATTTTTTTTACATTTAATTCTCAATACTTAACCTTATTTAAAACAAAGAACATTTCTTGATTATTAGTTTAAGAACCAGAGAAAAAGCATTTTTGTCCCTTGCTTTTTCTTTCTGATGCCTGCTGAAATATACTCATGTACCCATTAGCAATAAATTATTATAGAGAAGAGGAAATACTTTTCAAATTTACCCAGAACCCAGATCAGTAAAGAGTTCATTGCCAACACACAGTGCCAGCTTAAGCTTCTGAGTCAGCAAAAGTAACTGAAGAAAAACTACATAAATTCTAATTGCCTGACAATACAGTTAATAAAAAAATCAAAGCATATTTTCATATTATGAGCTTGCAAGCAAAATATACTCACAGGCAACTCAAATGCCCACTTTAAAATGTATTCCATTTATAAAGAACGAAGCCAGAGGTATATCACATTACCTGACTTCAAATTATACTACAGAGTTACAATAATCAAAACAACATGGTATTGGCAGAAGAACAGACACACAGACCAATGCAACAGAATTGAGAACCCAGAAATAAAAGCACAGGTATTTGGTCAAACAATTTTTAACAAAGGAGCCAAAAACACACAATGCAGAAAAGAAAGCCTCTTCAATTAATGATGCTGGGAGAATTGGAAAGCCACATGCAAAAGAATGAAACCAGATTATAGTTTGTCCCCTTGTACAAAAATGAATTCGAAATGGATCAAAGATCTAAATATAGGATCTGAAACAATACAATCCACAGAAGAAAACATAGGTACTAAACTTATGGACCTGAGTTGTAGAGAACATATGAATTTGACCCCAAAGGCAAGGGGAAGTAAAGGCAAAAATAATTGAGTAGGACCATATCAAACTAAAATGTTTCTGCACAGCAAAATAGACCAACAACAAAACAAAAGGGCAACCAATGGGATGGGAGATGATATTTGCAAACAATAGCTCCGACATGGCATTAAAACCCAAAATATACAAAGAACTCATACAGCCCTACATGGTTCGGCTCAATGGATAGAGAGGCAGCCTGCGGATTGAAGAGTCCAGGGTTTGATCCCGGTCAAGGGCACATACCCGGGTTGTGGGCTCGATCCCTAGTGGGGGGCATGCAGGAGGCAGCCACTCAATGTTTCTCTTTCATGTCAATGTTTCTCTTTCTCTCCTTCTCCTTTCCTCTCCCTCTAAAATAAATACAAAGACATATCCTATGTAATAAAAGCCCATTGACCGAATGGCGGGATGACCAGAAAGATTGGTCGACCAGTCGCTATGACGCACACTGACCACCAAGGGGCAGACGCTCAACGCAGGAGCTGCTCCCTGGTGGTCAGTGTGCTACCACAGTGGGAGCACTGTTCGGCTGACCATGATGAGCAGCTGCTCCTGCGAACCCCAGGCTGATGGGCAGAAACTTGGGCTGTGATCCTTGCCTCCTCGACCCAGGCTCCTCCTCCTCGCTCCCTACCGCCTCCTCCAGATGCCTGCAGGCCGTGCAGTGCTGCCGCTGGGCTCGCAGAGCTGACCCCAGAGGCTGGGAGGCAGGTTCGTGGCTGCCATGGGACTGAGGCTTACTGCACCGCCTCTCAGAGCTATTGTCCCTGGGCCCAGCCCTGACCGGGTCCCCTGGAGAGGCAAGTGCTCCAGCTCCACGGAAGATGCCGGACCAGGGAGCAGCTGCTCAGAGGGCGGGTCCACCGCCACTCAGCAGACTGGGATGAGTGGCGCTCCCACAGCAGGCCCATCCCCGCAGGCCACGCCCCCCACCAATGCACGAATCCCGTGCACCCGGCCTCTACTGCTATCATAATTTTGAATTTTTGCCCATCTGATCAAAAATTATATCTTCATGGAGGTTTAATATATATAGTCTTCCTCATCTTATGAATATAATTGAACATCTTTTCACATGTTTTCTGCCCTTTTTGTGAACTGTCAATTTGTGGCCTTTGTTAACATTACAAGTAAATGTGGCACTGTTCTCTTCATGGTGTGTGTGTGTGTGTGTGTGTGTGTGTGTGTTTTGTGCAAATGTGAACAGAATAATGAATTTCTTGGGTTCTGTACTTCTCTCTAACACCTTCTCCACGCTGATTTTGTTTGAATTTATGCTTCCATCCTATTTTTCTTCTCACCAGCTACGTGGAATACAAAGACTATTAGTCAACTAATTTCAGTGACTCCTAGCAGTGAACTCACCAGGTGTCTCATTAGGCAGGCGCTTCATGCCTTTTGCACTCACTCTTTTCAGTTTGTTCACTGCATTAAAGAGGCAGGAGACACAGAAGACAGAGATAGGCCGTCACACCTGTGATGCTGTAGTCACCTGTGGGAGCTGCAGAGCCCTGTCGTGTTTCATTTCAAAGAGCTGATAAGGCAGCAGGCTGGTTCACAGACCCTCCCTGGCTCCTGGAGGGAATGGCTGCAACATTTTAATGACCTTCTAGGAAGCACAGGGGAATTTTGAAAAGCCTAATGAGCTTCTGAAGCCACTGGGTAATTGTCCCCTAGCAAAATTGTCTTCAAAGAGAAAGTTAATGCAGAGTCCACTCACTTTCCTCATATCATGATACATTACTCCTGAATTTAATTTGTTGGCAGGAATCTGAGTCAGGAACATCTGAACAACATTGGGCTAAGATGGAGGGTGGGGATTAGAAATGCTTGTGTACTAAAAGGACAACCTTCCAGCCAGAGACAATTTAATTAACGAAGGTTATGATTTATAAGTCCATAAACACTTAGGGAAATCTGAAAGGATGACAGGTGATTCTTTCTTTAAGAAAACATCCTTAGCTCAACAATCCTCCTAATAAATATGAAAAAAAGTTATGTGAACCTGTGTTGTTGGGTGTGATTTCTAGGTATTGAGCTCTGTGTTAGCTTCCTAGGGCTGCCGTAACCAAGTCCCACAAACTGTGGGGCTTAAAATAACAGAAACCTTCTTTCTCACAGTTCTGGAGGCTACACGTCTGAAATCAAGATGTTGGCAGGACTTGCTGTCTAGGGGAGGAGCCTTTCTCGTCTTTTCCAGCTTCTGGTAGCCCCAGCTCCTTGGCTTAACTCCCATCTCTGCTTCTGTCCTCACATGGAGATCTTCCCTCTATAAGGACATCAGGCACATTGGAGTAGGGACCTCTCTAATGACATCACCTTAACTTATTTCCATATAAGGCCTCATTCATAGGTGAGGGAAGGTGAGCACTTCACCACAGCTTTGCGGAACACACACTTCCACGCATAACAAGCTTTCAGCCTCTCCCTTCTCTGATGGGTTTGCTGTATCCTTCAGTCTCTACCACTGGGTTTGAAATTCCTAAGAGAAAACACAGACCAGTTAAAGAAAGTGTAAATTCTTAAAATCTGGCTGAGGTTTTTGCCCTGGGTATCAAACCTCAAAGGACTTCCTTTATTTATTATATTTTTAAAAATTATATTTTTAGCCCTAGCCCGTTTGGCTCAGTGGGTAGAGTGTTGGCCTGCAAACTGAAAGGTCCCAGGTTTGATTCCGACCTCTTGCACACCCCACACTGGGGATTAAGCCTGCACGTGCCCTGACCAGGAATCGAACCATGACTTCCTGGTTCATAGGTCAAACCTCAATCACTGAGCCAAGCACAAAGGACTGCCTTTAATCCTCCTTCTCTAAACAAGTAGATAGGAACTTTCCCTAAGACCACACCCTGACTCTGAAGAGAAGTGCTCACCTACCTGGTGGGAAGTTAAGTAAGTCTCAGGTGAGCTAGTTCAGGTGCCTTGAAATTATTTCAATCTCTCTTCCAGGAAAGCTCCACACCCCACTCTTTATTCTTGGGAGCTCCCTTCATGACTTTGTATCTTGAAGACAAGTGGGATGGGGAGAATGTGTGCCCCACAGGCAGATTTCTCTTCTTTCTTTTGAACTTGTGTAACTAGGTCAAAATCTTCTCTTCACCCGCCCAGTGGGTTTGGCTCAATGGTTGAGCATTGGATCTATGAACCAGAAAGTCACAGTTAGATTCCCGGTCAGGGCACATGCCGGTTGGGGCTTGATCCCTGGTGTGGGGTGTGCAGGAGGTAACTCATCAATGATTCTTTCTTATTGTTGATGTTTTTCTCTCTCCCTTCCTCTCTGAAATCAATAAAAATATATTTATGGGAAAAAAATGTCTTCCCCGAAACCAGCAGTGTGCTGATTGCTGACCATCCTAAGGGGACAATTTCTCTGAAGTCCATTTTCAGGGCCATCGTTTGTCTCTCTGTCCTTGTACTCTAACATGACAGACAATAAGGTGGACAATAAAGTAGAATTGAAGAATGACGGTATTTTCAGCTAAGACATTGCTCATACATTGATGCGTAGGCATCATGAAGATGTGTTACTGCTGGTGGGAATGTACAATTGTACAGCTACTATGGAAACATTATTGTGGCTCTTCAAAAAAATTAAGCATAGCCTGGCCAGTGTGGCTCAGTAATTGAGTGCTGACCTATGAACCAGGAGGTTATGGTCAGGGCACATGCCCGGGTTTCAGGCTCAATCCCCAGTAGGGGGCGTGCAGGAGGCAACTGATCAATGATTCTCTTTCATCATTGATATTTTTGTCTCTCTCTCCTCCCTTCCTCTCTGAAATCAATAAAAATATATACTAAAAAAATTAAACATAGAATTACCATAAGATCCAGCAGTTCCACTGCTGAGTATATACCCCAAATAAGTGAATATAGTGGCTTAAACAGATATTATTCATACACCCATGTTCATAGCAGCATTATTCTCAATAGTCAAAGGTTAAAATCAACCCAAGTGCCCATCCATGACTAAGTGGGTAAACAAAATGTAATGTATGCCAAGTTCTGGTGTTTATTGTCTTGTTACATCTGTATTTATACCAGTTGATTTTAATCCTGTCAATTTCTATTGCAAAGGTTAGGGCGTTTCTTATCTCCATTCCAGGGAGTAAAGATTATGTAGCTTAAGCGTGATTGTTTGTAGTTAAAGTGATTAACTACCCGCCTGGCACTTAGTTAAGGGGTTGTATCCCCTCCCTAACCTCAGGGAAAAATCCCCACCTGGGGAAACAACCTTTCTCGGAGAGGTGACCTTGGTTAAAACACATGGCACTAAGGAGAGCAAACATATTAAGAACAATATGCTATATATGCCAGGTCCCTTGAAACATATGCTGTGCAGATGTTTCTTTCCTGCAGCGACTGTATCAAGCATCAAGGATGGACCGGCTTCTGGCATACACCCATGTTCATAGCAGCATTATTCGCAATAGTCAAAGGTTAAAATCAACCCAAGTGCCCATCCATGACTAAGTGGGTAAACAAAATGTAATGTATATGCAGACAGTGGAATGTTATTCAGCCTTAAAAAGACAGGGAGTTCTGACACATGCCGCAACAAGGATGAAACTGGAGGACATGCTCAGTGAAATAAGGAACAAGAGGAACAATACAGTATGATTCTTCCTATGTGCGTTTCCTAAAGCACATACATTCTTAGAGACAGAAAGTAGCCTGGTGGATGCCAGGGGCTGGGGGAAGGGAGAATGGGAGTTAGTGTTTTATGTTCACAGAGTTTCTTCCCAGGTTCCCCCCATTGCTTTTCAGAGATAGTGGGAGGGAGGCAGGAAGGGAGGGGCGGGGGAGAGAGAAACATCAATGTGAGACTGGTTGCCTCCCAAATGTGCCCCAACTGTGGGCGGGAAGTGAACCCGAAACCCAGGTACATGCTCTTGACTGGGAATTGAATGTGCGACCCTTCGGTGTGTAGGCCAACACTCTAACCACTGAACGAACGCACCAGCCAGGGCTGTTTTATGTGCACAGAGTTTCAATTTGGGATGATGGAAAAGTTCTGGAGATGGATGGTGGTGATGGTTGTACAGCAACATGACTGTACTTAATGCTACTGGATTGTACACATAAACATGGTTCAAATGATGAAGTGTATGTTACGTGCACTTTATCATGATTTATGAAAAGGATCTGCTAGTTCCCTTGTGGTGCAAGAAACTGACCAGTGGACTGTGCCAGGGTGGTCGCAGCCCCTCTGCTCATGGTGACGCCTTTGATACAATGAAGCATGGTTTCCTCAGACAATTAAATTAGATTACTGGGGGGCGGGAAGGGAAGGGGTGCTGGGGGTGATTGCCTATGGAGCTGTATTTTGCTCCAAGGGCTCAGCATTCTGACTAAAACTCCTTTCTTTCTGTTTGACATAATTTCAAAGGAGAATCTATTTTATTCCACTTGCAGAGTGTTTTCTAAGAGACTCAGGCACTCCTTTGATCCTAGTTAGTAAAGCAGTGAAAAACCCTGGCGTCTTTTAAAATTTATTGATATGAGAGAGAGAGAGAGAGAGAGAGAGAGAGAGAGAGAGAGATTTGTTGTTCCACTTGTTTATACAGTCATTGGTGGATTCTTGTATGTGCCCTGACTGGGGATCGAACCCAAAAACTTGGCTTATGGGAAGAATGCTCTAACCAACCGAGCTACCCAGCAGGGCTATTTCTTGAACATTCAAGAACAAAATATAGCTTCTGCTTTTTAAAAACCAAACTATCATCCCAGTAGACTTTGATATTCAGAATTTGCAATGAAAACAAAGATTCACTATAGTGAAAATATAGGCAGTCATCTCACTTCTCTCATGTGCAAACGCAGACGAAGGGCTGAAGCATGTAGCTTCTGATTCCGGCCAGGTCCGTGCTGTCCAGCTGGTGTCACCTCTCCGATTGCTCTCCTGTGATCAGGGGTCGTTGTCAAGTGGAAAATGGTAAATGACCCTTCAGTCTTGGCTGAGAAACATTATCTATTCAATTAATGGCCCATAAAATGATTTAGGTAAAAGGCAAGCCTGCAATTTCTTTTTCCAAAGGAGAAAAGACGATACTAATTTACCAAACTTCAAGCTTTTAAAAGGTGCTAGGAAATGTAAAATATCACTTGCATAGGATTGTAGAAGCCACAGAGGAAACCAGAAGCTATGAGGCAAAGAAAGACTCCAGGTACGTTTTGAAGAGGAGGAATGTCACCAGTTTCTTTCTGTCTAGGTGAACATTTATGCTCGTTTGATTAGCCCAACCTTTATGGAATGAGGTGGACAGTCATTGTATGTTTTTTAAAATGAAATGTCCATCCCTGGCTGGTGTGGCTCAGATGGTTGGGCATTGTCTCATGCACCACCAAAAAGTCGCTGGTTCAACTCCTGGTCAGGGCACATGCCCAGGTTAGGCTCGATCCCTGGTGGAGGGCATACAGAAGACAGCCGATCAATGCTTCTCTCTCACATCTATGTTTCTCTCTTTCTCCCTCTCCCTTCCTCTCTCTCAAAGAAGCAATAATTAATATATATGAATCTGGACAGAAATTGTCAAGAAGTCTCCTCCCTGTGAGGTTGTTAACTTCATCAATACCCAAAGAGGTTCTTTAATTCAGGACCTTATCACATCAAAAAGGTTAATTTGGGATGGCTGGGTACATCATGGAGTGAGACCTCTGTCTTCTGAAACCTGTCTTCTGAAACCTCTGTCTTCTGAAACCTCTGTCTTCTGAAACCTGGGCCAGAAGGACATGAGGAAGCTGGTGGGATCCCCAGCTGGGCATGGAAAGGTCTCTCAGTCCATCCCAGATCCCATTGGCTGCCCTGGATCTTTTCTGGCTCCTCGGCAAACTTCCAGTTTCTGGTCCAGGACCAACCGCAGAAGCACGCAGCCTCTCCCTGCAGTGCTCAGAGTACTGAAGAGGTGAGGTTTGCAAGCGTTTGGAAGTTCCCTGCCTTTTCCTGGGGGGATTTCTCCCAGGGTCCCTCTGAGCCATGGAGTGGGGGTGGGATGCTGAGAGGACACTGCTCAGCTCTCGAATATTAGCAGAGCAGCTTCCTGTTTGAATGGCACCTGAAAATCCAGTGTTGTGGATCCTGGGACTCATTCAGTCATCCATCCATCCAGTCATTCATTCAGTTTTGTTCTTTTTCTTTTTTTTTCTCACAGTAGCTAAGCAATCAGAAACATAAATTTGACCATGCCGTTTTCCTGCTCAAAGTCTCCTCAAAGTCCCATTGCCCCTGGAACAAATCCCGCAGCTTTATTTTGGCCTACATGTCACTCCTTCATTCACCAAGGAGTGTGCTCTGTGCTCTGTGCAGAACTGGATCAGGAACGCAAACAGATGAAATCCCTGCACCGTAGGAGCTTGCATTCTGGCGAGCAAGGTGGTGAAAAAGAAATATGCGACCTAAGTAAAACACGTTTGTTAGAAGGTGATCACGCACAGTGCAGGTGTGGGGTGGTTTAGTGCCTTTTTTTATCAAGCCCCTATGCCCACCTCCTCCCCAGGGTCCTCAGAGACTGACTACTAAGTGCCTTTGCACTTGACACTCCTCTGCATGGAGCTCTTGTCTCCTACATATCTGTTTTGCTCCTCGTTTGGGTCAATTTTCAGCTCAAATGCCATCTCTCTGAGGAGACCTTCTAGCCCAGTGGTCAGCAAACCATAGTTCGTGAGCCACATGCGGCTCTTTGGCCCCTTGAGTGTGGCTCTTCCACAAAATACCACTTGTGAGCACGCACGTACAGTGCGATTGAAACTTCGTGGCCCATGCGCAGAAGTCGGTTTTTGGCCTGGGCGAGTCTATTTTGAAGAAGTGGCGTTAGAAGAAGTGGGGGGTGTCAGTCGGTGACCAGAGATGTGGCGCAGGCGGGCCGAGGGATACGCAGTGCGGGGGGAGGTACATTGTTTTGAGGTACATTCGCTGAGGTCGACCCCTTCCAACTCTCCCATCCACACTCGTCTATCTGAAACAAGTATACAAGATGAGTATGGATGGGAGAGTTGGAAGGGGTCGACCTTAGCGAACGTATCTTAATCAGATTGAGGATGTTTTTAGCAAAGGCCAGCTTAGGAGTACCCTAATTAAGTTAATAACAATGTACCTACCTATATAGTTTAAGTTTAAAAAATTTGGCTCTCAAAAGAAATTTCAATCGCTGTACTGTTGATATTTGGCTCTGTTGACTAATGAGTTTGCCGACCACTGTTCTAGCCCACTTGAAGTCCCACCTCAGAAGCACCCTCCTCCCTTCTCTGGTTCCCTGTTTCTTCAGGACACATTCCTGTATAACAGTTGTAATGATTTGTGTATTTGCTCTCTCTCTCTCTCTCCATACTAGAACATAAGCACCAGGAGGTGAGGGATTTTGTGACTTTTTCTTTTCTAGCACCAGCACCTAGCACTGATTCTTTCCCAGGTTCAGAGCAGCTGCTGGGGGTGGAGATAGAAACCGCTGTGACCTTACCCAGAAGCGTCCTGTTACTAACTGTTTTCCCTGGGGGCTGCCCCAGGGTGTCCCTCCTCTAATGCTCACCTTTCTCAGGCTCCATGTGGGTATTTATAATATGAATTAAAAGTCCTGATTATGCAGACACCAAATCCCCGGGTTCTAACCTCAGCTTGAAAAGTGCATTATAATCACAATGGTAATATTTTAGGAGCTGGCTCCTTGCACTGAGTTCCCTACTGATAAACTCTTTATGAGCTTCTAGGCTTTTAATTCTTACCACTTTTGTGAGGGTGGGTAGTAGCATTATCCCCACTTTATAGATGAGGGAGCTGAGGCTCAAGGGCACACAGTTGGTACAAGACTGAGGCAATGCCTGGCTGGGGAGCTCAGTTGGTCGGAGGGTCATCCCCCATAAGCCGAGGTTGCTAGTTCAGGTCACAAACAAGAATCAACCAATGAATGCATAAATAAGTGGAACAACAGATCGGTGTTTCTCTCTCTTCCTTTCTCTTGCTAAAATCGATGAAAAGAAAAAGAGACTGAGCCAAGATATTCTAGTGCCTTCCAGTTCTAGAATGTTCAATATTTTCGAAGATGGGTTTCCATCTCCCCACAGGCCAAGTCTCTTCTCAGCCCCTGTGGAGATGGCTGGTTCCTGGGGTAAAGGACCATGAAGACAAATTACTCTGTTTTTATTCCTGCTACAAGGTGCCCCAAATTCCTACCAGGTATCTCCTGTTGATAAACTGAGGAGGATGGTTTGGGAATCTTAGAATTTCTTTCTTCCTCGCATGCTAAGGCCCATAGAAGAGCCAGTTGCAATCTGCATGCTGTGGGCTTCCTTCCTTCCCTAACCTGGGTCCCACAGGAGCCCTGCTGGGCCTGTTAGAGGAGAGCACCCCACAATCTGGAGGGACCTCAAACCCCTCCTCCCTATACTTGTGTGTGTGTGTGTGTTTGTGTGTGTGTGTGTGTGTGTGTGTGTGTGTGTGTGTGTGTATGTGTATGTGTGCGCAGGACTTTCTGAGTTCTGTTTCTCCTTCCCTGGAAAGTCCCAGTCTCTATGAATGTTTCCAAATTATGTATCTTGGAGACACTATTTTGTCCTTTATTGGAGCTCCTTCATAGGGGTGGGAGTGCAGGGTGGGAATGAGGCCTTGACCTCTCCCCTTAAAGGTTAGAGGCTCTGACCCAACACAAGAGTAACATGCATTTGGACTTAGTTTTCATCACAACAAAGAGGTGATGATTTTCCAAAGTGACACATAATCATTAACCTCCTAGTTGGATTGGAAAATGGATCTCTCTTTGCAGCTTCTATGCTCAAACCACTTCATCACACTGTTGTCTTTGGGTAATTTCAATTAGAGTATAGACTGTCTGGCCGAGTATCACGTCCCCCAATAATACGGTGGCTGGATAAAGGACAGGGAGAGGTGAAGGAATTATGTGAATCATATCTGTTTCCTAGACTGTGTGTTTGCATGTCTATGGGGAGGCTGGTCTGTGACTCAAGATCCCCTTAATGCGGTCTGACCCTCTGTGACAGAGTGATCGGTAAGAGTGGGGTTACTCCGGGTGTGTAAAAATCTGAATTTCTAGCCACTAAGACACCATTAGACTGAAATACTGATTCAGGGACCAAAGACTTAGTGCACTGAAATGCAACTCCCCAAAAGGTCTGGTGCTCCGCCCGCTGGCATGGCTCAGTGGTTGAGCGTCGACCTATGAACCATGAGATCATGATCACGGTTTGATTCCCAATCAGGGCACATGCCTGGGTTGTGAGCTCGATCCCCAGGAGGTGGCGTGCATGAAGCAGCCCATCAATGATTCTCTCTCATCACTGATGTTTCTATCTCTCTCTCTCCCTCTCCACTCCTCTCTGAAATCAATAAAGATATATTTAAACAAACAAACAAAAGGTCTAGTGCTCCTAAGAAGAACCTCCAATTACTGATGTGTGGCCAGCCTGAAAACAGCCCTCAGCCCCTCGCCCAGGCCGGCCATGCCCCCCCGCAGGGACCCTCACCTCAATGGGGGTGTGGCCAGCCTGCAAACCACCCTACGCCCCTCACCCAGGCCAGCTCTGCCCCCCAAGGGAACCCCCACCCTGATCCGGGGCCTCCTTCAGGGCAGACCAGCCGGCCCCCACCCATGCACCAGGCCTCTAGCTATACCAGTGGTTGGCAAACTGCGGCTTGTGAGCCACATGCGGCTCAAAGAGCCGCATGTGGCTCGCGAGCCGTAGTTTGCCAACCACTGACCTATACTAATACAGGGTTAATATGCTAATTAGACCAGGAGACCTTCCGGGAGACCTTCCAGATGTCTTTCCAGACAAAGACATGGTAGCGGGGCCAAGGCAGAGGCGGTTAGGGGTGATCGGGCCAGGAGGGGAGGGCAGTTGGGGGTGATCAGGCTGGTGG